CCGAACACGTCAATACCCTTTCAATCATGGTAAAAACTGTGTTTTCTCTGATCCATCTAAAGGGTCACCACATTTCTGACGCATCAACCCTGAACTTTTAGTAAAGCAAGCATTTGGATTGGTTACATGCGTGGATAATTTACTTTAATAGGTTATCCTTTTATGAAATTTGGTTAGACCGAGCAGTGTGTGGTCTGTAAATATACAATTTTTTAAATTTGGTGTCGCCCCCCCCCCGGAGATGGTGTCGGTCATTGCCACCCGCAAACCCACCCCCCTCCCCCACCTGCTCCACTGACTAGCATTAAATAACACGTATGAACCAAATGAGAACATTTAGGAAACACAGATAAGAACGCAATGCAAAAAGCTAAGGCAACAATTACAATTTTGGCCTTTGAGTCATAATTGTAGCATGGACTTATAAACTTGATATATAGTAACACGTTACGTCTATTTTAATTGTTAAAGGGATTTATATTAAAAAAATAGATTTCCTTAAAAAACATGTGTTTGTAAAAATTTTGAATATTCATAATAGGCCTATTTGTCAATAAATTTAATTTACGTATGTTTGCACCACTGCCATAGATAGCCATTACGATTTCATTGTATTCCTTCAAAGTCATTGCATCTATCAAATAGGGCCGTCTTAGCAGCATCGGAGGCCCTGGACACAGGGTTTCTTTCAGGCATCTCTCCTGGGGGGGGGGGCACTGCCCCTTCCGGGGAAAGTCAAGTGCCCCCCCCCCCTAAGCAAAATGGGTAAAAACAATAGAACGATTATAATTTTTTTAAAATTAAAACGACTAAATTATCTTTTTTTTTATTTTAAAAAGAATAGTAACTGGAGCTTTATCCAATTACAAATAGTGGAATCTATTAAATATCGATATATTTCGTGATCCGTATATTTAAGGCTAATCTTGTTAAAGGCTGATAATATTCCATAAAAAAATATCGTACTGACCGCCTCTGATTATAAGCCGAAGTCTTACTTCAATTTGTTCGCACTTTCGTTATTTTTATTCATTTTTTTCTTCTTTTTTTATTCTCAAATGACTTTAAGACTTTAATAACATTGCATTAAAGTGCATTTACATCAAGATCAACGATTACAATTCTAATATTGCTTGCCAAGCATAAAACATACGCAGTCTATGTTCTAATTATATTTTATTAGTTGAGTTAGATAAAAATGAATAAAATGATATTTGACAACAAAATGTAGGAATTTAACGTTTGCATACAACTAGTCGACGGTTCGTCAATTATTTTAAATCGAATGCCTTTCTAATTTTTCTAATTTTGTAACACAGATTGGGGAACAACGGAGTAAAATGATGTTTTAAAATAAAATTTAAAAAACCTAGTCATTATTTATTAAATTTCACACGACTTTTCTCTCTTTAATAACAGAATAATAAACAATCTTCATCCGCCATTTGAACGCATTTTTTAAATTTCATTTTTTTTTTTTTTTTTGATTTTATTCATTGCTAAGTGAAAAAATTTAATTTTTTTTTTAATAAAAAGTTTTTTTTTTTTTTTTTAAAACAATCTTCATCCGCCATTTGAAAGTTTTTTTTAAATTTAATTTTTTTTTTTTTTTTAGATTTAATCCAGTGCAAGTAGAAAGAATATAATTTTTTTTTTACAAAAGAGTTTTTTTTTTCTTTTTGACTTGATAAAACTTGGAAATATCTAGAAATAAACGCATGGTTTTGGTTTTTCTTTTTCGTTCAACATGTAAAATTATTTAAGCAATTCTTTTTTGTTATACATACCTTTTTTTTAAGGAATTGTAATGTTTAAAAAAAATTGGATGGGGGGGGGGGGGTTAAGTAGCTTATCCCAAAAAACTTTTTAAAATAAACCTCATTACTACTCAGTAATAAAAAATATATTTGTATAATACACCTGGTCTTAAGCAGAGACGTTGCTGGTCTTTTTGTGACCCCCCTCTTCCCCCCCCCCTCGCGCTTTTCGCTACTTTGCAGTTTCCTTTTCTATCTAGAATAAGGATTGATAATTAAAAATATTTACAGCACAACCTATACTAAGCCCCATTCATTTGTACGGGCTGCAGAGCCAACACGATGAATATGAGGTCAAATGACATATTATACATAATATACGAACCAACTATTAGTCTGGAACGAGCGGTGAGTGTCTGCCCCGAGGATTCCGCCTGTAGGTTGATTTTGCTGCTCTACACTCCGGCATCCTTTCAATGTGTTCTGTCCAGGACAGTCTGATTTTTTTTTGAAGACTATGGGTGGGTCTTTGTGGAATTGATGTCTCTCTTGGTTTGTAGGGATTCCCCACAAAAATTTGTTTGTCAATCACCGGGCCATATGTTTTCCTGAGAATTCTCCTCTCCAATATATTGAGCAGGTTCTCTGCTTTTCTGGTAATCTCACTTGTGTAAGTTAAAGCTGGTCCTATGACATTGGTGTATATTGCCTTTTTTTGTTCCCCTAGAGAGGTTTTTTCTTCCTAGTAGCTTTTGTAGACTGAAATAAAAAAGGTTGCCTGATGTTATCCTTTCTTTCACCTCCGACATTATTTTATCATTCTCATTTATAGTCTCCCCTATAGATATTTGATAAAGATGGGGTGGTTGTTCCTGTACTAAGTGATCCCAATGGCTCATGGACTTGGTTTTTCTTGTTGACATTACACAGGAGCTGAATGTACTCAACAAGACGTTACAAGACCAAGGGTAGCTTTTCAGTGTTGCCTATGACAATGTCAGGACATTCTGCACAAAACTTGTGTTATGATTCTTAGAGAAACCTCTTCCATTTCCCAGCATGCAAAGTCCTCATGAACTCGGGCACACCATTCAGTAGTAACTTAGTAGTAAGTATACTGATTCCATTGCAAAGCTACAGAAAGAATTCGATCACATTTTTTAGACTTTCAAAACACAGAAAGCCACTTTTCAGCTTTTTGCTGACCCTTTCTCCTCTAATGTGCAAGATGCCCCGCGCGGGGAGCTGAAAAGAAAAACAGACAAGCAGAGACAGTTTATTGCATTGCCCTCCACCTTCCCTGAAATTTTTAGGTTGTTCAAGCGGATCATATGACTTTTCGGGAGTGCCTATCTGTGTGAAAAAAAACTCTTTTCCACTATGCACTTTAACAAGTCAAAGTTTAGGGCCAAACTTACTGATGAGGATCTTCAAGCTATAGGGTCTGAGGGTCTCAGTTGCTTCCTCACTCAAGCCAAAGTTGTTCAGCTGTGTAAAAAGAAGCGCTACCACGTTTCTGGCAACAGTGAGTAGGTGGAAGAAAGTGAATCTTAGATCTTGAGAACCCTTAATGTTACTATTTTTTATTTATAAATTTTGAGCAGATTGTAACAGTTGTACTTTAATGAATTTGTAATCGCTTTTTGGGGAATACTTGGTGCGGCCCAGTCTCACTCGGACTCTACCTCCTGCGGCCCCCTGATGATTTGAGTTTGAGACCCTTGATCTATAAATACTTTGGATTTTACAATTTTAATTTAAAATTAATTTAAATTGCTTTACAATTTTTTTAAATTAGTATGATAGCAGAAAATTTTGCAAAAGTGGAGGGTGGGGGCAAAATTAATTCAAAATAGACTCTTGAGTGCCTTTTGCTTTTATAATATAATTACAAACTAGAACAAATAACTATAATAATTTTTGTGGCTCTAATAGAGCCAATTGCCAATTATTATGCAAGTTTTGTGCTATCCTATAGACGGGGGAAATAATTGCCCCCCCCCCCCTTACCCCCCATTAAATCATAAATTATGAAAAATGTAATGTTATTTTTTTGTTGTTGCTCAATCAACTATTTTTAAAGTAAAATAGACTCTTTAGTTGCTTTTGCTTTTATAATATAATTACAAACTCGAACAAATAACTATAATAATTTTTGTGGCTCTAATAGAGCCAATTGCCAATTATTATGCAAGTTTTTTGCTATCCTATAGACGGGGGAAATAATTGCCCCCCCCCCCCCTTACCACGCATTAAATCATAAATTATGATAAATGTAATGTTATTTTTTTGTTGTTGCTCAGTCAACTATTTTTAAAGTTGAACAGAAAATACCGTAATGCATTACACAGTTATGTTACATAAGGGGCCGTCCATAAAGTACGTCACGCTCCGGGGTGGGGGTGGGTGGGTGTATCAAAGTGTTACAGTTTGTGACAGGGGGGAGGTGGGGGGTAAGGCCATGTGTGACGTCACACATTTATTTTTTAAACTTTTATTTCTAATTTATTTTTAATTTTTTTAGTAGAATTTAATAGCTTTAAAAATAATTTTCAAACATTTTTGTGAAATATTTGAATTAGTTTTATGTCAAAATAGCATGAAATGTGTATCTCCTGAATGTGTTGTTCACGATTCCTCTCGCTAGGTGCGCTAGTAACTATTATACTATTAAAGTCATTTTAATAATGTGATAGTTCTTTTAAGTGGAAATTGTATATTTTAATACAGTTTAATAGTGAAGTGTGTTTTAGATTAAATTTTAATTAGGTGTTAATTTTTTTTTTTAAGTTTTGTTCGAAAGTGTGACGTACTTGGGGGGGGGGTGTCCAAGATTTGTGAAAGGGGGAGGGGGGTTAAAATGGTCAAAAATAGCGTGACGTACCTACTTTGTGGACGGCCCCTAATGTCTGTGTAATCGTTGTATTCAGATGCTACATCAGTTTCCTCGGTAACTCACTTTAAACGGGATTTTGTAAGCATTTTTTTTTTTAAATTTGATCGAAGTTACTTAGGCCCTATGCCTATTTTTGTCGATAATTCAAAGATTACAATTTTAATACTAAAAAGTCGTTTTAAAAAAGATATTTAAAAAAAACTTGTTAAAAAGACTTTCTATCAAAGACAAGTTAAAATTCACTAAAAAGGTTAAAATAAGTTAACATTTCTAAAAATTTATTACGCAAAGAAATCTGTTTTGTTTTTTAAATTAACTCTTTATTTATATAAAAACGAAGTTATTATGTCAAGCCTTTGATCTTTATCTAATGGAAATTAAGATAATTCCATTTCCGGACAAATGAAAACACAATCGGCCCAATACTTGTAAGGTCACCTAACTCAATTTCGTCCCTAACTTTATGGGAACGCGTGTAATGAACGAATTTTCGTACGATTCTTCAACGATAGGAGATGAAATTGGCGAGAATACCCTTCGCTCTAGGCGTGACTTAGAAAAAGATTTGGATCTTCGTTTGAGCAACTTACCATCCTCACAACATCCTCCAGGACCAGGTACAGAAGCTGCTTGTAGGATTGCATGAGAAAATCTGAATTCTCTTCTGTACTTTAATATAGAATTAAATAATGCACAATTCGAACCCGGGTCCCTTTAAACTAAATGGCTATTTGGGTGTCATTTGTGGTAGTTTATTTTAGCGATCCCTTGCCTTATTTTAGTTAAACTGAAGAAGTAAGTTTGCCAACATAAAAAAGTATGACAGTATGATGATGTTGTCCATTCAGGACCATTCGGTAATCTTGCAGTTAAGGTGCGTATATTATTTCTGATCGAATTTCGTATTATGGCGTGTAAACTTACATGTATTCTTTATCAAATTTAGTCCAGATAGTATTAGTTAACACTAAACTGTACAGCACTAACTTTCAGTTTTCTTGTTATTGATTTTTACAGCCCTCATGCCCATTGGTACATAGCCGTTAGCATAAACAATCTCTCCATTTTCTTGTTTTTTTTAAAATACACCCTAAATTGCCTACATGCCAGATTGCAATTTTTCAACTGAAAGCATATTCACAAAAAAACGAAACAAGAAATTAAGATTTATAATAAATTTTACCCAAATTTTTTATTGATAGTTAACTTTTCAAACTAAAAGAAGGCACTTCGCTGAGATCCGGGAAATGCCGAAAACTGGTTAACGTGATTTCATTGTCTAAATAGCGACCTCCACTTTTTAACTTACAGAGAGTCTCATTGTTTACGACTTTCTTACTATTTATAGCCCTGCATGTAAATTATATTTCTGCCCACAGGTTAGACTTAGAGTTGACATGTTTTTTTTTTATTAGACACATTAGTCCCCAAAATAATTTTGGGGCTTCACTTTGAAAATTGATGTTAAAATAATGCTAATTTTACTTATTCTAATTTTTTGTGGGGAAATCTTATATCTCTTCATTCTTTATAGATAATGGCACTAATTACAACATATCCAAGGTGCAGGGCCGGCCTTTTGGGTATGCGACCTGTGCCCTCGCACAAGGTGCCTTGGCCATAGGTGCGTCTGGGGCGCCCAGTAAATATTTAAATTCCCTTAGTTTATTATAGTGAAGTGTGAATCTTGGATCCGGGGTCGAGAGAAACGGTATTCTAACTTTTCGTACAATCACTTTTCATACAATGAGTTTTCATGCAATGAAAGCTACATTCTTAATTTGGATACAGGGACAGGAAAGAGGGCCCCGAACAGGTGCTTCCTACAGGGCGAAAGTCTACCTAAGGCTTAACTTTGGCGCCCCTTATAAGTATAATCATTAAAGGAAAAAAACTAAAAACTATTTATTCGGTATTGAGTTTATTGCCTATGTTTTTGTTTTTTTAAAACAAACAATAAACAAAAACATTGGTAATAAACTCATTAATGAATAACTAGTTTTTTCCTTTAATGATTAACCTTATTATAAGGGGCGCCAAAGTTAAGCTTGCACAGGGCGCCAGAAACCGTCGGGCTGGCCCTGCAAGGTGTGTAAGGTTAGGCCCAGCGGTTTGGTCATAAATTTATCTGGTAATTTTAGTCACATGTCCCAAAAATTACCTATTATTGTCAATATTCGTTGCTACAGTAAATAACCTCATTTACTCTGGAAATCCAGGCTATTACCCCCATAATAACTCATTTAAAAATATAAACATAAATTAATAACACAAGTACATATTTTTAATATGATTTGATGCTTTTATTGAGGGATATTAGTTTAAGTAAGCCTTATTATTAAAATTAATAGTTAATTATTAGTTTTATATACTGGTACATACACACACATATATATATATATATATATATATATATATATATATAGAGAGAGAGAGAGAGAGATCTAGATTAGTATTTCTATTATATGTGTGGGGATAGCCCCACTCCAATATATATTTGTGTGACACATTTTTTATATATAATGATATATTATATATATACATATATACACACATATATATATATATATATATATATATATATATATATATATATAGAGAGAGAGAGAGAGAGGCCTAGAATAGTATTACTATTATAAGTGTAGGGCTAGCCCCACTCCAATAATTATTTGTAGGACCCATTATTCATATATAATGATATATTATGGTGATTCTTAAGGCATAAATTAAGTAAAAATGTACAAAAAATATTCACTTACCTTTGATGTTTAAATATCCTATATTTAATCACATATCACACTATTCCAAAAGAGAATTATTATATTATCCTCAATATTCTCAAAGAAAAAACACTTTCTGCCACATTAATCCAAGAATTTCATAAGTTATTACTAAAAACTAATCATAAGACATTGTAAATACCTTAAGCAAATGACTAGAACTTATTTTAAATTCTATCAACAGCCAAAGTTTATTCTAACAATACATGTTGAATTGTGAAACAACTTTACTAACTTAAAATAATTGACATACAATTTTTTTCATATTTACACATTCTTATGATATGTGACTAAATATATTTTTTAGAAAATTTTAAAATAAAAAGTGTAATCGTCAATTTTAACTCAATGAAACAAATAATCCCTTTATTATTAGTTTATACTTATAAATTTTTAACAATTCCACAGAAAATTTGAAATTAATATCTAAAGAATATTATTATTATTATGATTTTTGGGAAATTAAAAAACATATTTAGACATAATTAATTAATTAATCGAAGTGAGGCTAAGCCTTAAGCCTAAACTAAGAGTTTGATACCTTGTGCAAGTAACTACACATAAGCACTATGGTAGAAAATGTAATAGTAGTATCTGAGAAATATTACAAAGCATCAACTACATAATAAAATTTACATATTTTTTTATTGTTTTGTGTTATATTAAAAAAAAAGTGACATTGGTCTGGCGAATTGATCCCTTAGAATAATTTTGGCTTCCAAGGACTCAACTTTTTATTTAGGGTATGTGTATACACAATACAATCAACACTTCCTGTTTCTACCATTTTGAAAACAACACGCAATATTTTCCCGATAATCTATCAAAATATCTAATAAATCGCTGTAATTGTGTTGTTCAGTACTGGTATTTTTAAAATTAAAAAACCCAACTGAGACTGTGGTAGGCAAAGGGGCGATTGCGGGTTTTCTCTATTCTTCTTAAGTGTTCTTGTGAATTAAATATCTGAGCAATAGCCTGCAATATAGTCACTCAATCGTGCACTTGGCACTGTTTATTGAGAGTAAACTATAATAACCCGTCTACATGTAACAATAATATTTAAAGCAAAATGGCCAACATCAATGAAACTGAGTGAATAACAAATGTTCATAGGTTGATATTTTTACCTAATATCATTGAGTTATGGCAGTAGGATATTAACTCGAACTCTTCACTTTGTTAATTATTTGATTGATGATCCCATTATTTCACTGAATAAAATGCACATTAGGAAAAAATGAAAGTATAAATCAACTGGTATTTAAGATTTACAGTAGTATTATGTAAAAATACAATTCACAGAATACGGTCACAAAATGAGGTGGCGCAGTTCATACTACCAGTACATTCAATTTCATAGCTATCATAGACGTACCGTATAAAAGGACAACGAAATCACATTTTCATCTTGCTTTTTTTTTATTCATAGCTCATCCCCGAATATGTGTGGAGAGAAGCTTTGTGCTCTATCCATCATGTAATAAGCTTAGGGCTAATCTCACCCTGCTCATCACCGGCCTATTATTAATACTTCCTCATCCATTGACTATTTTGCTTTTTATATTTGTGAGAACTTTTGTGTTCATTTTATTTTTAGTACTACTACTTTTGATCGTTTTTTTTAAATTTATTCATAATTCATTAACATTTCTATTGCTTCAAAGAAGTGAAAATTATGTTGGCACATGTAATGTGTGAATTTAGTCTATCCTTAAACTATAGATATTTTATAGCCATAATCATTCTTTTCATTTCAGATCAGCTGCAAAAATTAGCAGGTCTAAGTGTAGGATTCTGTGCGTAAGTTGTTAAAGTTGTTTATAAAGAAGTTAATAGAAGCTACATATTTGATCAAATTTTTTTCTCTAGTTCATCAAATTATTTGTTTAATTTAATGTCATTGACATCTGCTGATGAAGATTTATAGATTATTCTTTTAAATGATTTCATTGCTTAACTGTTAGTGTTGGTTAGTTTTATACTGCCACTTTTTAAAATCTTAAATAATAAGCTCTAATAATTCTATTTTCATGTGGCATCAAAACTGTTTTTGTTTTTTTGGTTCACCATTTCAGACTTCCATTTAATGATATTGATACATGTATAATTTATTTGTCATAGCATATTTGCAGAGCAACTGTTGTCACATCCTTGCATAGTACTGAGAAGACAATGTCAAGTAAGTCAAAAACATAATTTCTATTGTAAGCTAAGATTTTAACAAGAAATAAATAAAACCTCTTTCATATTAATTATAAATTCTAGCAAAAATAATTTAAATATTACCGGACCAATGACCATTGTTCCAATAATACATTTTAAAAAAAAAAGGAACAACATATTGAAAAAAACATAACTTCTTAACAAAATTATAAATAGACGTATTATGTAAAAGAATATATAATCTGTGTTTGTTTATATTATTGTATTACAAATTTTAATGGAATTAAATTTTAGCACCTGTATAAATGCAGATTATGACTCATAATCTTTTTAATTGAGGATGAGTTTTTAGCATGAAACAAATAATGTTGTATTGTCTATCCAATCAACTTTATAAACCCAAATCAAAGGTAGTGTCGAAGAATATTTAAAATATTCATTAATTTTACGCTTTTCCTGTATCATTATAAAATTTAATACTTTATAGTTGTTAAGGAAGTTACGTTAACATAATTTGAAGAACAATTAGAAGGCCTCAGAAAAGTCTTGTTTTCAAGATTTGAAAAGACAGCGACAACAATGTTCAAGAAATAATATAATTTTTGTGTACTTGGTTCTAAAGACTGAACTCCTTTACTTTGATATGCTTCAGGTGCATCATGCTGGTTATTGGTACCACTTGACTCCAATTTCTCTTTTACAAACCTTGATAAATATTCAGAGGACACAGGTATTACAATTTTTGTCAAAATGCTTACTTTTAACATTTTAATTTATGCCATTTAAACCACTGGCCATATACTAAAGAGCTTAATTTAAAATCACTACCTTTTTCTGGGAGGAAAAGTATAATGTTAAATAGTCATTTAGGTAATTTGTTCTGAAACAAAGAAATTGTATTTTTTTTTCCTCCAGTATTTGTAAATATATATTCAATATAAATTGAAATGTTTATTCAAACTCATTAAAGTGTGTTGCATATGCGAATGAAATAGTCTTTAAAAAACTAATTGTAAGATTCTTTTCTTAGTAATAATGAAAAATTCAATAAAGTTCTCCTGTACATTCAGTGTTACAATAATGCATGTTCTTAAACAGAGTGATTTGGCCCAAAAACATGTGGGCTAACAGTGGCTTTGAGGCTAACAGTGGCTTTGAGGCTAACAGTAGCTTTGAGGCTAACAGTGGCTTTGAGGCTAACAGTGGCTTTGATGCTAACAGTGGCTTTGAGGCTAACAGTGGCTTTGAGGCTAATAGTAACACAGTAATGAAAGATCATGATTTGACTTAAGAGTTAATTTTATTTTCAAATGAATTAAGGGAGGCTATAAAAAGAACAAAAAAACGCTGCCTTAAAATTTTGACTAAAACTTTCCACTGTATTTTCAGGGAGGACTGGTATTATGGAAAGGCCTTGGAAGCGTTTATATTGTCCGTGGCATCGGTATGGTTTCTGAGACAGTGATTAGTGAATTGACATCTTTACCAAGGTGTGTTCATACCTTATTCTTATATTTCATTTCACAGCTTGAATGCAGTCCATCAATCTTTATCTTGTATTCTACCAACAGGTTTTACTCAACAGTTCATCATTTTAAAATACTACAGTACAGATTCATTAACTAGCCAAAGTATGAATGCTTAGAATAGTTGTGTTGTGTATTACATTTGAAAATTTCATTAGGACTGTTTAATAATGAGAAAGATTGTATCAGGAATGACTAGGTGAGCTGATATATTGAGTGTACGTCATTAGCTGCATTAGAAGCCAATAAATAAATACATTTTATTAAAGAGAACTTAGGGCAAATGGTATCTTAGGGTTTTGACAAAAAGTTTAGAATGTCGTATCTTTTAATTACTGTGTTTATTTTAGAGAAGCTCCAAGGCACAGTTCCTTAAAGAGGTTGGGAGGACATGTCGTTCTTAAAGGGTGAGTCTGCACAGTTCCTTAAAGAGGTTGGGAGGACATGTCGTTCTTAAAGGGTGTGTATGCACAGTTCCTTAAAGAGGTTGGGAGGACATGAGGCTCTTAAAGGGTGAGAATGCGTAGTTCCTTAAAGAGGTTGGAAGGACATGTCATTCTTAAAGGGTGAGTATGCACAGTTCCTTAAAGAGGTTGGGAGGACATGTCGTTCTTAAAGGGTGAGTATGCACAGTTCCTTAAAGAGGTTGGGTGGACATGTCATTTTTAAAGGGTGAGGATGCACAGTTCCTTAAAGAGGTTGGGTGGACATGTCGTTTTTAAAAGGGTGAAGATGCACAGTTCCTTAAAGAGGTTGGAAGGACCAGTCATTCTTAAAGGGTGAGTATGCACAGTTCCTTAAAGAGGTTGGGTGGACATGTCGTTTTTAAAGGGTGAGGATGCACAGTTCCTTAAAGAGGTTGGGAGGACATGTTGTTCTTAAAGGGTGAGTTTGCACAGTTTTTTGTCTTATTTAATAATTCTTAAATAAAATTCTTGAAATATCACAACGGCTGATCTTTGACTTTAACAGACCAGGCTACTCCTGGGTACCAACGCTTGACATGTCTTACCTACAGTGTTGTTGAGCCATGTTAGTTTTATGTGTAATAATTTAGCAATTAGCTTTCTTTTGTTCTGGTCAAAGTACCATATGTATGGTTATTATATGCACAGCACCTCTTTAATAATGGGACTGTAATGAAAAAAAAGCATTGTTTTAATGTTGGTTCCATAGAAAATCTTCAATTTTGAGAAGACAATAATGTTGTTATTAAGACATGTCAGCAGACTGACCAACTTGTCAATGTGTCTTATTTATTTATTTTAAACAGGATAATCTTTGCTGTGTTGACACCTTTCTTAGCTGCTAGTCTTGTTGAAACAGTTCAAGTAAGTTCCTGGCTTTCAGGCCACCTAAAATTATACCTAAAGCTTTTCCCGAACAACATGATGGGACTTAAGAGTTAACTTTATTTTCAAATGAATGAAGGGAGGATATAAAAAGAACCAAAAAAATTAATTTAATGTTGATTCAATGACTTGATGCATGTTTGTCTGTGATTGACATGCTAGTCATTGAGTTTTAAAAGTGTGTGCATAAAATAGGTGAATTAAGGTCAAGACTTAATCTATGACTTCACATTTATCAGCCATGGTGTTAATTGGCATTAACTATCAACAGAGTGATATCGCCAGTGAAAGACCAGGTGTGTTTGACATTCTTGTAGAGGCTGCAGCCCGCGTTAGTGCCTGGGGTGTCCCTCAGACATCCCGTCAGATTCCAGTGTGGCACCTGGCTCTGCCGACCATCATCTTTAGACTTTCCCATTACATTATCAACTCAATAGCTCAATTTACTGTGACCTCGGCAATGCATTTAGAGCAACAGGAAATAATGGTGAGTCCTTTTATAAATGTTAACATAATGTACTAACAGAAGTTCAATGTATAGTTTGGCATCTATACTAAATTCTAAATTTAGCATGGTTTCACATTTTAACAAAAAAAGTTTCATCACACAAAGCTTGATGACTGATTCTGCTATGGTAATGGAAGTTGTGTTTGTGTGGATTGCCTCCCTTGTGTCTTAGAGTTCAGTCCCAGTTCAAGCACCTTATCTTTTTGTATTTCATATCTAAAATAATTTTTAGTTAATAATTTTTGTGAGAGATTATGTAACAAATGTAGCAAGTGAAATTAAATATTAAAATGTAAAATCTCATGCAACAAGTGTCATTGAAACATGTGTCACAAGTTTCATTCAATTTAAAAGTATAAAATATCATACAAGTGTCATTAAAACATATTTCAAAGGTTTTCTTGGATATTAAAAAAAAAATAAAAATCATTTTAAAAAAACACCAGTGACACATAATAATATGTCACAAGTTTCATTACATACTGAAAGATAAAATAATCTTCAAAAATGTCATTTATTACAAGAGGCCATTTATTGTTTGTATGATTTTAAAAAGGTAATTTAAAATCATATAATTTCTGACTGGAGAATTCCTTTCTACTTATTTTTGTATCTAAAAAGGAACAGCCTGGTGAAAATGGCAGAGAACCTAGTGCCTATGAAACATACTTTCCCGAGTTACTGGCCACATTTACAGGAGGAATATTGGCTGACATGATAACTTTCCCAGTGGAGACAGTATTGCATCGTCTTTATGTGCAGGTATTAACCCCACCTGCTTTCTGCTACTACTTCCATTAAAAAACAATCATGACTTTAAACATCAGATTGGGGCTGAGGCTGAATCTATTAATGGGTGCGCAGATGGCTTGTCAGGCCAATTTTGGCATGAAATATTCTAGTGCAGAAGGTGCAGGGTATGGGGGACAACTCCAGGTACAAAGTTAACTCTTTTCTTGCTACATGTACTCTCAAGCAGCCATTTCCCAAACGTTCAAGTTTGCCGGCCTGATGGAGAAGTTTTTAAATTGCCACAGGCATCGATGCCAGATTGATTATTTATATCTTATTTTAATTTGACCATAAATATTCATGTTGTGGTGGCCGGCATCAAAAGGCTTAGAGGACATTGCTGGTCTGCGGACACCATTAGGGGAACACTGCTCTAAGCCTCAGTATTTAAAAGTATTTCAAGAACAACAACAAAATAATGCAGGCCATATATTCCCTCTATAAAATTTTGTTTAGTTAAGAGTAATCTCATAATTTTTAAAAAATAATGTTTTAGGGCAAATAGTTACTTAATTATTTTAATATTTGCATGACAGGTATATTAATATGCCGAAATAATAATCTGAATGGAAATATTTTTACCTAAAAAGATAGGATAAATTTCTTATGAGATATTGCCTGTATGTACTCTTCCAGGGGACGAGGACTATTATTGACAACACCGACACTGGACTGGGTGTGATCCCTATCAACACTCGCTACGATGGCTTTGTTGACTGTTTCCGATCCATTGTTGCAGAGGAGGGACTCCATGGCCTGTACCGTGGATTCGGTGCCTTGGTGCTACAGTATTCTATCCATGCACTCATTCTGAGGCTGGCCAAGTTCATGTTTGAGAAGTTGTCGCAAGAATTGAGAAATAGAAGATCCCAACCAGGGAGACAACCAAAGTTAGGTCCAGCAAACAGCAGATCCAAGTCATTAGAGTTTCGGAAATCTGATGGAGACAAAATATTTTGATGTAAGGCGTAGTCAATGTAAATTAAGATGTTGATTAACAGGAGCGCAAGTAGGTCTTTATCCAGAAGGCTTTCTTTTGAACATCTCTTATAAACTAGTATAAGATAAATCTCATTAAATACCCTTTTACCAAAATAAATTTTCATGGTAAATATTTTTTAATGCTCAGTGTTCAGTGTTAATTAACAAATAATGAATATATAATTTTTACAGTCATTAAAGATTGGCTTTTAAGGTTTTTCGACTTAAATAAAATAAGTGTTGCTTTATTTCTCTTTCAGATCTTCTGGAGATTGAAATTCAGTTATCGTCTGTGGTTTTCAGAAGACAAATATGTTGTTTATCAGTGACAAAGGACTGATAATGCTACAATGTGATATGTGCTAACCAGTCTTGTAGTTATTTGAGGCATAGAGCCTGCAGGAATTCCATCTCTTATAATATTAAAATTATTATTATAAAATAAGACTATTTTTGGCTGTTTGTTTCTAATTTTTCTAATTTTTGTGTACATCATTCATTTCTTTTTGATACTTAGATTTCCCTTTGTTTTAATTACTTCCCTTGGCAATTTCTATTTTTGTTATGAATTATTGTTCAAAAAAGTAATAAATTGAATTGTTAATACCTGAAAATGATGGACTGTCCACTGATCACAGACAATGGGGGCTGGAACTCTGATGCCAATGAGAAATGCTTAATAGTACAAACAACATTTTGAGTGGATATGTTTAGAACAGGCCTGCACAACATGCGGCCCGCGGGCTGAATGTGGCCTGCCAGCACCCACTTGGCGGCCCGCGAAGTAATGAAAAATTCTTTATTATTATTATTTTCTTAATAGCTTTCCCCCCCTGTCCTATCATCTTTCGGCCCGCACAAGTTTTTCATAAAGTATTATGGCCCGCCATACATTTTGAGTTGTGCAGGCCTGGTTTAAAACATTGATTGTTTAAAAATAATTAAAGAAGATTTTGTCTTCTTTCAAATGATGGCACAAATAAAAAAATAACTTAGATTTGTCATCATTGACATTATGTCATTGGTTTTTTTTTGCTGTCATTGTATCTATGTGTCAGTGTATCTTTGTGTCAGTGTAACTATCTTTACAGTTGAAGTAGATTTGTTAAGACGAGTCACACGCTCATGGTTACTACAGCTAGCAAAACTGTTTACTGTTTAACATCCTCAATGAGATTCATTGTCATGCAAATAAGTTATTCTTAAGGTGTTAATGATTTGCATCACTGGTCATCACAGACCTAACATTATTGTATGTGTACGTACTAGCTTTTTACAACACTCATAGCATAGGTCTGTAGTCTCTAAGTAGCATAGGTCTGTAGTCTCTAAGTAGCATAGGTCTGTAGTCTCTAAGTAGCATAGGTTTGTAGTCTCTAAGTAGCATAGGTCTGTAGTCCCTAATCATGAGAAGTGGAATAGGTCTGTAGTCCCTAAGTAGCATAGGTCTGTAGTCTCTAAGTAGCATAGGTCTGTAGTCTCTAAGTAGCATAGGTCTGTAGTCTCTAAGTAGCATAGGTCTGTAGTCTCTAAGTAGCATAGGTCTGTAGTCTCTAAGTAGCATAGGTCTGTATTCCCTAATCATGAGAAGTGGAATAGGTCTGTAGTCTCTAATCACAAGATTTGGTGTAAGTCTGAGGTGTCTGATCATGACAATTAATATTGTTTTTACTTAATTAGTTATCTCCATGCCTTCAATATGTGACATATCTGTGAATTACTCTGTAAGTTATGTTCTAAATTAATTTTGTTACTTAAACTTAAATTATTATGTGAATGTGTAATTTTACTCGTCAATAAGGAGACCCTTTCCATCAACTTAGCTTGAGATATAGATGTTTGGAAATTAATGTTCATATGATTAATGAGTGGCCATTAAGGTATGTTGTATTCATGAAGTAAATGTGATGAAATTAATTACTACATTAGTGCAATACATGTTTAGTATCAGATTTTTTTCTTGTTCAAATTCACTTTTAAAACCATTTCCATTTGTTGAGCTTTCAAGCGATGTCCTGTAATTTATTTCTGTACAAAGATGGAAGAAAATAAAGAATTTTTTTCACATTGATTGGTTTATCTATTCTTAAACTTATTGTTATTATTGTTATAATTTTTTTTTTTGTGTGTAGGAGTCGTCATTAATATTTGCCTCTTTCTGGCTGAAATAAAAAGTCTAAAATAGTTAAGTAATTTGTGCCAGTAAAAGCAGATTTGTTTTTTGTAACATGTTAAGGCTCACAGTGTATGCTCTCAGAACCTAGGTGTAGTGGAACAAGGCTCACTTTGCCAGGACCTGCCAATTTAAAACTATTTCTTTTCACAATGACAGCAACTTCAACAAGACCTTTCTTTTCGACAATATAAATATCTTTTATTGATGTAAAATAATGACAGCATAATAGCATTAATAACATGGTAGCGTGAATAAATAGTAGCATGAATAAAAATGGTAGCATTTAATATAAGTGTAAAAATAAAAAATGCTGCGCATTGTTAACTCATGTGGAATTGACTTCATAGTGAGATGAAATGTTACATGTAAACACAACCAGTTGAGCAGGGCAAGAGACCAGTGAAATATCCACAAGTCTTGAGCTCGAGGAAATCTTAACCCCTCATTCGTTCTTAAAAATTATCAGTACAAGTTTTAAGAAATAAATTATTTGATATACAAGAAATGGAATTAATATATAAATTATTCAAGCATTAAACATTTTAAACAAAAAAAAAAATAAAAAAAAAAATAAAAAGCAATTGATTCATGTTGTTGGTAGTTTTAAAGTACACGTTCAACATGTTCAACATGTACAATTAAAAATTATCAGTACAAGTTTTAAAAAATAAATTATTTGATATAAAAGAAATGGAATTAAAATATAAATTATTCAAACATTAAACATTTTAAACAAAAAAAAAAATAAAAAAAAAAATAAAAAGCAATTGATTCATGTTGTTGGTCGTTTTCAAGTACACGTTCAACATGTTCAACATGTACACAGCTAAAGGTAAGGAGCACGAAACACATTGGCCAAATGTTACCAAGTGATGGGCGTCCCGAGTGTGTCAGACGAGTTAATGTTTTAGAGCCACTGATGATACATTAGCAGCAACAACCAGTACATCTAAATATGTCCAAGTGTTGTTTTCACATTTTGATAATATTGAAACGTATTTTTTTTTTGTATTTTCTCTATGACATTAGTAGACCTCGGGAGCATTAGAAATGTTAACATGTGGCCATGGGCGTGGGATTCCTACCTTAGCAATAACTCACGAGCAATCAAATTTTCAGTTCTCTTTGAGATAATATCAGCTTTCTGGTAATGTCTAAGTCAACAGTTATTCAGTCTGTTTGAACGCGGATGTTAGACAGGAGTAACATCGACATAATCGAATGTTTTCGAATAGTCTACAAATAGCCTCGGCTCATCATCATTGACCTCCCCATCAACACTACCATCGTCCCTGGGGATGTTGTGTTCTTGACCACTGGACTCGGTGACGTCTTGTTGGTTATTTCCTGTGGTAACGTCTGCGGGGTCATTTTCTGATTGGCTGTCCCCTTCGAGTTTGCTGCCTGGTTGTCTGTTGTCTTCTGTTTCCTGTTGCACAACAATTGTTGGTTCATTCTCTTTCACGCCGGAAGGATAACCTTCCAGATTTGTGTTCACAACGTACTTATCGCTCTTGCCTTGTGTAACGATCACGTTTGCGACATTTGAGGAAGGCAACTGGATTTTCTTTCCATCCTTATCGTCAGAGTGACCAATTAACTTTTCACCTTTACTATCATTACATATCATGGCTTCCACGTCAAGCTTCATATCAATCATATGAACGTATCTTTCTATTCTAATCAAATTTTGTTTAAGGGGTTCAGAGGCTAACTTCTGTACAGCGGCCTCGTCCACCTTGCCGACGGCTACAACAATGACCTTGACATTCATCAGTTTTAGTCGGTCCACTTCAGTCTGGATCAGGTCCAAGTTTTGGGTCGCCGCATCTACAACCATCACCACGACCTTCTGTTCCGAGTCTGGAACTTGGCTGAACACATTCATCCTCAGCTTGCTCACCAGGCTAGGATAACCTACAGCGTACCTCCCTCTGATGCTAGAGAGCGCCTCTTGGAACTTGCTGAGACCTAACAGAGAAGTCCCTTCTCCAATACACGGCTGGGTCATGGTCCCAATCTTGACATGCGGTGCAACCACTTCAGCGTCGGCGGTGAACTTGGTCACGAGGTCATCCAAAATAAACTTGGAAGAAGCCGCAGAATGGAGATATTCGTACAGGAACATGACGTTTGTGGGGGATTTAGAGCATTCTGGAGAGAAAAAAACAACAAATCTTTGATATACATTGCGCTAGTAAGGAAACTAATTTTTTTTTTTTTAAACGTTAAACTTCTCTTAAAGTTTATTTTAAATGTATAAATACTTTAAATTATTGATATATTTTATTTGTTGCAAATTTAAATTATTTTATATGTTCAAAAGTTTAGCATAGAGTAAATCAGCTTACTGGGTTTCTTATTGGCCTCATCAGAAACGGCTTTACACGTCTTGACTGCCAGCAGCTGTGTGACGGACGACAGGGCCTTGAATTCGTCGACGTGGAACACAAAATCCTCATCAGGGTCGCTGGAGATATCCGACAGTTCTTTCGCGTCCACCTTGTCGCCCACGCCCACGGCAAACATGTACACGCCCCTCCTCCTGGCATCTGCCGCGGCCTCCGCCGTCTTGGCCGGGTACTGGGACTGACCGTCGGTGACCGTTATGATGATCTGGGCCACGCCGCCCCTGCCCTCGCTGGGCCCGAAACCTGTCTTGACGACGTAGCTGATGGCGTCACCGGTGTTTGTGCCGCCCGTCAGGTAGTCCACGTGTTCAGGCTGAAGTGCCGCTTTGAGTGATTCGATATTCTCGTGTGTGGCCAAGCCAAACTCGTGGTTCACCTAATATTCAAAGGTATAAAAGAAAGAAGACGATTAGTATATTAAATAGTTATGAAACAGTTTTTTAATACGTCAAAAATTTGTTGTTGTTTTTTTTATGACAACTATAAGAAAAAAACATTTTTTTTTAAACAACTAAGAAGTTGATTAAATAAATGAAATTGGTTCCACTATTTATACTGATGGTCGGGTGGCAAAGCCTATGGAGGTTGTAAGTCTGTTATATTATAGTATGAAATCTATGCATGACAAGTTATGGCTTACGTCATCTGAAAATGTGACAAGTCCAACTCTCGTGTGAAGAGGTGAGATGTGAAAAGAAGAGACGAGATCTCTGACGAAAGGCAAGACTCTGTCATGAAAGTGATGGATCCATACAGAAGATGAGGCGTCCAGTAGAAAGTAGATGTCGGCTGGTTTTCCTCTGCAACCTGTGTGACATTAAAAAAAAAAAAATCTGATATAGTATCGTAGTCTACGGTGATATCATTAGTCCTTGTGTTATGGAGATCTGTTGTGAACTGTTGTGAGATCTTGTCTTTGCGTGCATTGTATTACGTTACTTTCCAAGATGATATAAGTTAAAATTAGTTTAACAACTATAAGAGAGGGATTGGTGAAATAGACGAGAATCTCTTTACCTTCATCAAAACCATCATCTTGTGGAAGCTCCTCGGTGGTCTTGTAGGGTTTCTTTGTCGTTGCTTTCACAGTCGTGCTTGTAGGGGACGTTGCCGTTGTGGTGGTGGCGGTGGTGGTCGAAGGGGTAGTTGTTGTGGTGGGGGTTGAAGTGGTGGTTGGGGTAGTGGTTGAGGCGGTGGTTGGAGTGGTGGTTGGGGTAGTGGTTGAGGCGGTGGTTGAAGTGGTGGTTGGGGTAGTGGTTGAGGCGGTGGTTGAAGTGGTGGTTGGGGTAGTGGTTGAGGCGGTGGTTGAAGTGGTGGTTGGGGTAGTGGTTGTGGTGGTCGTTGGGGTGGTGGTTGAGGGGGTTGTTGTAGTTGTGGTGGTGGTCGATAACGTTGAGGTCATCACTGTGGTCGACAAAACTAAAATAAAGTAAACAATACTAAATTAAAACTTCAGCCTGAGACAGTATTCTATTCTCACAGACTTTCATGTCACACATTCCACAAGGCAATACTATCTAAAATCATTCCTTCCAGTATAGCTTAAATGCGTTCGCTTATGTACAAAATTTTCTTTACCATCACAGGTCGACTGTTTGAAACTCTTTTTGATGTTGTCCAAGGCGCGGAAGTCTGTGACCTGGAACACGAACTGTTTGACAGGCGATGACGCCATGGCGTAGAGCTCTTTGAAGTCCACACCGTTTCCGACTCCAATAGAAAAGATGTCCACACCTGAGGGAAATAAGTTTTCGTTTAGACATCGCAGGCAAAATCGACAAAATAGAAAGTAGACATTTAAAAAATTGCTTTAACCTTTAGAGACCTAGTCAACGGAAGTGAGATAAAAGAGAGGGAGAGAGAGAGAGAGAGAGAGAGAGAGAGATGGAGCGAGAGAGATAGAGAGAGACATAGCTAGACACAAAGAGAGAGAGAGCGTGATAGAGATACGGTAGAGTGAGGGAGAAAGAGAGAGACAGAGAGAAAGCGAGAGAAAGAAAGAGGGAGCTCAGAATAGAAGAAGTTCGTTCTCATAGTTACACATGTTAACATTTTCATAACTGACAATAGCAATTTATCAGCATCCAAAAATGTATAATCCACCTTCCGATATACAAAACGCCTCTCATTATTTATTTGACACGTGCTAATTGTCCCGGTATCTACCTCGTGCTTTCAGTGCCTTGGCTGCGTCCTCGGTTTTCTTCTTGTTAGCTGATCTGCCGTCAGTGAGTACTACGAGCAATTTGGCAACTCCTTCTCGGGCGCCATGTTCTGACGTCAGCATCGTTCTAGCGGCGTACTCCAACGCCTTATTGGTGTAGGTGTCGCCCCCACGAAACCTGATGGCGTCCACTGCCTTCAAGGTGTCGTTCACTGTCTGTAAGAGTGGGGGGAAAAAACGAGGTAATTTGCCGAAATCCTCACTCTCCCACTCAGTAACTTAAGGTTGATAATGAGATATTTTTTTATTTTTTTTATTTTTTTTTATAAATAAAAAGTATATGTTGAAAATACCATGCTATTTTTTCTTATGACAGATTAGACTTACATAAGCATTTGATTCATAAGATACTGTAGATTAAAACTTAATATTAAAGCTTACTGTAGAATAACAATTAACAGGAGAGCCAAATGGGGATAACTAATTTATTCGTCAAAAAAAAAAATGGCTTTGCAGGTTTTATTAAAAGACTTAGACTTTTATACATGTTCCATCTTTTAACATATTTCTACAATTTTAATGTCGGTCACTGTAGCAGAGAGACACAATAGTGCGATCCACAAACATACCTCGTATGTGTTGAGGTGGAACTCCAGGTATTCCCTGGTGCTGAACAGCAGGATGCCAACTCTCGTGTCCAGGGGACCAGGTCCGATATTGAAGGAAGCGATCACGTCTTTGAGAAACGTCTTCACGTGTTTGTTGAAGTGAACTGGCCATATGGAGGATGACGTGTCCACCACAAATATTATGTCTGCTGCTTGTTTGCACGGTCCGGTCATAAGAGATGGGCGGCTGGTGCTGTCCTGTAATGCAATTGAAACAATAGGTTCGGAGTAGTAAAAAACCAGGGACCAAAGCTGAGCTTGAACTGATTTAAAAAATCGTAAAAGCAAACGTTTTCTAGCAGAGGGCACTGGAGTCAATATTGTAAAATACATTAATAATACATGTTTAGTCAAGCGACAGATTTGTCAACCAAAGATGAGCCTCAAATTATGTCAATAAATAAGTCAGAAAGAATAAAGATTTCTTTAAATAAATCGAGTATTGGAATAATTCCTACCTGAATCAAGATTGTCAGACCGACGAAGAGAGGAATAAACTTGAGATGAATCATTTTCTGGTGCACTTTACCTGGATTATTATTTTTTTTTTTAAAGTTACCTGGAAAAATTCTAAAGGAATAAAACACAATAATATATGCCTAATGGTTATGCCAACTTTATCTTCACTACAGACGTAGTTAAGAGTTCTTTGCTCAACCGTTTTTGGTTTTGTGAAGGATGAATGAGGTGGTCATGGTTATATAGCCCCGGAGTAACGCCCACGGGGAACCCATTGAGAAAGTCCACAAGGATTGGCCACACTAATATCCCCGGCCCGAACGTTCCCACGAAACGGGGGCGAGATGTCGGAGAGACTTGGGTGGAATGAATGGGAGATGAGTGTTTAGTGATGTCACGGAATACACTTTTAGCGTGAGCTGACCTCAAGAGAAAGTAGGTCACTACGTCACACGAGCGCAGGGCTTTATTTTGACGCAGCATCTCTGAAAGATTCACTGGTGTCTCTATTATTAGCCAAGTTTACTTTCTTCATAATTTAGACATAATCTCTAAACGAGTATCTTCATTTAATGTTCCTAATTCGGAGGCAGACGTCTTAAAATTAATTATCTAAGATTTATTTGGTCAGCCCAAAAAATGCATGGTTTTATTCTTTAAAGAAATAATCTCTATTGACTGCTATAAGTTACATCTAATGCAAAAATTTGGACATATATACCAACTGGCAGGGGGTAGGGGGTATCAGCTGTTTGTATTGACTTGATCAGGACACAATCAGCTGTTGGTATTGACTTGATCACGACACAATCAGCTGTTGGTATTGACTTGATCAGGACACAATCAGCTGTTGGTATTGACTTGATCACGACACAATCAGCTGTTGGTATTGACTTGATCAGGTCACAATCAAGTGTTGGTATTGACTTGATCAGGTCACAATCAGCTATTGGTATTGACTTGATTGCGACACAATCAGCTGTTCGTATTGATTTGATCACGACACAATCAGCTGTTGGTATTGACTTGATCAGGTCACAATCAGCTGTTGGTATTGACTTGATCACGACACAATCAGCTGTTGGTATTGACTTGATCACGACACAATCAGCTGTTGGTATTGACTTGATCACGACACAATCAGCTGTTGGTATTGACTTGATCACGACACAATCAGCTGTTGGTATTGACTTGATCACGACACAATCAGCTGTTGGTATTAACTTGATCAGATCACAATCAAGTGTTGGTATTGACTTGATCAGGTCACAATCAGGTGTTGGTATTGACTTGATCAGGTCTCAATCAAGTGTTGGTATTGACTTGATCAGGTCACAATCAAGTGTTGGTATTGACTTGATCAGGTCACAATCAAGTGTTGGTATTGACTTGATCAGGTCACAATCAAGTGTTGGTATTGACTTGATCAGGTCACAATCAGGTGTTGGTATTGACTTGATCACGGCACAATCAGGTATTCCGACCTGGAATGGAATCATATTCTGGCCCATGGAGTGGTCAGAATATAATTTTCTAATACAAGTTTTTCATAAAAGTTTTTCGACGAATCTTTCCAAAAATCTGTTGTTTAAGAATGGAGTGGTCCTTTCAAGTTAATTCAGATTTGGAACACAGCCAGGTTTATCTTTATCCAGCTGAAACTCTTTTAACAGCGTTCTGATTCTGCGTAAATTGAAAACATGGGATTAACAAACTTGACTAGTATGGTGTCGGTCTTTTTAAAAAAATCATATTTTCAGCCATGCGATCAGGGCCTCGCAGACGCCGAGGCTACCAGGTAAATCAAGCGGGGCCCTGCCAGTATGGGGGTCCGAAGGACTCAATAGTTTTGTCTGTTTATAAAATTGTATTTGATGTTTAAAAAATTTTGAAAAATTTGCGTGGGTGGGGGAGGCAAAATCTGGATTTGCTTGAGGCACAAAAACTAGGGGTCGCAAAACCGGTCCCTTTTGCCAAAACCGGTATTTTCGATATTGAAGTTTACGAATACCGTAATCCCGGTATTTTCGAGATTTTCGATATTTAGAGAATTTTTAGTCGAGATTCGAGATTAGAGGTGAGGATTAATCAGGGCCGGCGCTAGGAGGGTGCGGGTCCTGGGCAAATTGAATTTTGCGGGGCCGTTGACGTTATATATTCCGCCGATAGGATATTAAGACACGTTATAGACATTTGACTATCGAATAACTCCGAATATTATGTTGACTGGATTAGGAACTATTAGTAGGCTTAGGTATATTATAAATATACTAAGGCAACGCGCGGCCCACTTCGCCGTCCCCCTACCGCCGGCCCTGGATTTATCAATGAAATAATAACATTCAGAAAAAATATCATATTTTGATTTTGAATAAGCTTTTAACAATAACACAAATGTTTAACTTCAGACTTTAATCAAACGAACAAAAATAATATTCTTAACTTTTTAATTTAAATAGTTTTATTAATCAATTACTAAAATAATTGGTGTTGTTTTAATCTTTGGTCAAATTTAAATAATGAAATAGTAGTTATGACAAACTGTATAATGTTTGGTCACTTAACTTTGACCGCAAATGGTTACAAAAGTAACCCGATGAAGAGAACACCCGCTCTGACTCCACACTGGTCGGAGGATAGACCTTAGGCTATCATATGCAGATTTTATACATTTTCCTTTTGAACATCCATTCTCAAATAAAGCCATTTCTATTTTTACCAATGTATCAATGTTTCCATCCTTTGGTCTGGAAGTATTATCCTGAGCCTGAAGTTTTTTTTGTATTTCAATTTCAAACTGTCTCTTAAGCTGCAGTGTGTCTTCAAGTTCATCATGCTTTTTAAAAAATGTTTTAATGTTTGGCTAGGTAAGTTACAGACAAACTAGGACATTCAGCCGGAGACAAAATAGCTCGAAAATCAATTATGAGGTGAATGTAAATTATTAATATTGTTATCACAAAATAGAAGTAGCATAATTTTTCTGTGTATTAAACTTAAGGTATTTGATGATCAAAGTACGGATTTACTCATATTTTTAAATATGTAGGTTTTTGGCATAATTAAAAGAAATCAAGCAATCAAACATTTTTGTTATTAAAAGTTGACCCCGTTATTTGAATGCAACGTGTTATTATTTCCATAAAAACTCTTAATGGAAGTCAAAATTCGATCTTCATTCGACTATACCAATCACTTATATGTCAATAATATGAAAACATTTACTTGCCAATCTTGTACCTTCTCTTCGAACTTGAGACACGTGGTGTGAGGGATTTGCATTAACTATGTATTGCTGTAACTACGACGTGGAAACTAAGAGAAACGATTTTAAAAAAATGTGAAAATGAAATCCCGGGATTATCGATTATAAATCCAATCCCGGTTTTTTCGAGCATCAATTATGGTCCGGTTTTCCGGTATTTTTGAATTTCGGGATCCCGGATTGCGACCCCTATCAAACACCCTGGGCTCTGCCCTGCCTACAATGTAAGTATATTGTGGACTTCCATTACCTGGGTTAGGGCGGGCATTATCAAAAGGAATTATTACCCTTTAATATTTCAAATGGTCACGTGCAATAACGACCTCTCTTTATTGGATATAGTTGAGAACGTATTAGACGTTACCATCTTGAATATTTTTAAGCTACAGGATTTTATCTAAAAATGCGCTATGTATTAAAATAATTACAACATTAAAAAATTGCAATCGTTGTTGTAATTTATAGTCAGTAGTCAATGCATTAGGGCCCATGGCCAATAGTCATTGCATTGTGGCCCATGGTCAGTAGTCATTGCATTGTGGCCCATGGTCAGTAGTCAATGCATTTGGCCCATGGTCAGTAGTCATTGCATTGTGGTCCATGGTCAGTAGTCATTGCATTGTGGCCCATGGTCAGTAGTCATTGCATTGTGGCCCATGGTCAGTAGTCATTGCATTGTAGCCCATGGTCAGTAGACATTGCATTGTGGTCCATCGTCAGTAGTCATTGCATTGTAGCCCATGGTCAGTAGCCATTGCATTCTCGCCAACTTTTTAGCCACGAGCTCAGTCAACCGGCTTGTGAATTTCTGAGTGAGGTACCTGGTTTCGTGGTTGATTGAACCGAGGATAGCAACAGGAATATAGATTAATTTGGCTACTACCAAGGTTGCGTTAAGCCAACTAAGACAGCTGTTTAATAAATTCGCTTCTATATAAGAACCTAAATATTAATTATAATACTTGACCCAAGCAGATAGACAAACAGACCAACAAACATGAAATCGATCTCGTTCAAACCATTTTGAAATACGCGGAGACAGGGATCGAAGAATGACATTGGAGTACTCAGCAGGACAGTCTAACTAAATATCACCGCGTAGACACTCAACTATCAATTTACGCAGTATCATTTTGAAATCAAATACCATCACGTGACTGGTCTGTGACACATTTGATCAAAGAAAATGTTTTATGATTCAAATTTGACCCTTAAATTATAACTCTTTTGAAAATGTACATTTTAAAATAAAAAACCTTACTTTGAAAAAATTAGATAGTGAAACAACAAAGACAATGGGAATGACAGTTACCGACAATGAAAATGAAATAAGGAACATGGCGGGGAAAACCAGAAGGAAGACAAAAGAAAACAAAGCATGTATCGGCAAAAAAGCCTTCTTTGTTTCCTAACTCTAAACACAAATAATCTTTTCATATGTCTCATCCTCCCCCAAATTAGAGTCTTTTCTCAATTA